TCCGATTTGGTGGAGTCCTCAAAGCCTTCTAAGATGACTGCTATGACCAAATTGAGCACGACAAAGGTGATGATGCACGTGTATGAGATGAAGAACAGAAACGAGAATGGCGACCCACACTGCACAGGATGGTCGATAAGGCACTTCTCCTGTAACTGAGATCACCACACAGCTCTCCAGTACATAGTGTGATAGCAGCTGCGAACCTGTGCGTAATTATCTGCTGTGATGTGGAAGTCGTTCACACAGGGTCTATGCAAGACGAGGCCGAAGAACTCCGAGTCCTTAGCCAGACTGTGCATTATCTCGTTCCAACCCTAGAGCCCAATCCATAGGAAACGTTATCGTGGCGACTCACTTCTCCAGTCATGCAGCGAACGAGTGTCATGAATCCCCGGTAGAAGTTGCGAAAGTTCGCATGGTCGTCATGACTACCAGAAAGCTGTGTGGCGCCAAAGAGGCGGACACCGAGCACCTGAGTCGAGCAGATCGACTACCCCTGCATTAGATGCTTACTGTGAAGAGGAACAGAAGTAGTAGCAATAGTATGGCAACGTTGAAGAGCTTCGGTATGGACAGAACGAAGGCTATGAACAGCTGATTGAGACCCTTGGCGAACCGAACGAGACGAAAGAGCCTGCCGCAGTAGTAGTAGCAAGAAAGGAAGGCGGCATGTTCAAGTCGTGGACCAACCTCGCAATGCGGAATATCCTGATGGCACTCATCAGCGTACCGATGGTCACAGTAGAGAGCAAGTCCACAAGTATACCAATTGCTGTAGCAACAACACATACGAAGTCGAAGCAGTTCCAGGAATCCTAAAACGCACCGTTCGCAAAACCATCCCTTAGAAGAACCTCATTCCTTACATAGAAGTACCACCACCGTGTGGCATACAGCTTCAATGCAGCTTCTGCTGTGAATATGAAGGCGAAAATGTAGTTTAGCGTTGCCAATGTCGTGTTATAGGCATCCGAAGGTGGTGGGAACATCTACAACACTGTTATCAACACCACCAGGAGGAAACACTATCATCATCAACCTTACCTTCATACCAGTCACTGCTGTGTTCAGCAAGATGCACGTCATTATGAACGTCTCGAATTTAGAGCTCGTGCAGAAGAAATACATCTTCCTCCTTTTCACGGGCAAATCCTACACAGCCAGGTGCCAACTGATACCAAAGAGATACTCACTTTGACATGGGCGAACTCCAGGTATATTTTTTTCGTGTACAGCTGTTTCTGAAGCTCTATCCACTTCTGCTGGGTTTGCGTCAGGAAGAGGGACCTCCCCTGGGCTTTGATCTTATTAAAGTTATCGACAATAACACCGACGCAAAGATTCAGGATGAAGAGCGAACCGATCTAAGACAACGGCTATGAATGCAAAGAAGGTAGGCTGCTTACCAGCATGAACAATACGAAAAACAGACCCCATAGTTCCGCATGATCCCGACGAGGCTGACCATAAACTTCCGTTGCATCAGTGCCAGCATACATAACGTCTACCCAACCTACGACATATGGGAAAGGTAGTTCCCATAGACAGGAAAGCTCCCCCACCTTCTGTAGTTGAGATCTCGAAAAGAGTCATCATAGACACTGCGATGTTATCAAAATGCTGGTGCAGATTCAACCTGAATCGGTTAGCAGTTAAACCCCATTCCAGGCGTTAAATGAATCTACTATAGTCCCAATGATAACCTGTTGTGATAAGGCAATATACGATCTTCCACGTCCCTCACAATCATTATCGAGCAACCCCGAAGTCACAAGAGAAGCGTCTTCAAGCTAGTCTGCGTATGGCTTACCATTGTCCACCCTGTTCCACACAGTTAGCAGCATCCTTGATAACTGCCTTGCAAAACTGCGGGCATTCACAAGCTGAAGTGCAGGCTTCGAGACACGCCTCACACTCTCCACCTGAACAACCAGTTGTACAACACTCTCGTAGTAGAGCTAGGAAACTTACCCTCAAACACGTTATCAGCGCAGACATCAGCACAGTAGTAGGGGTGGTGCTCGCACTCATCTCGGCAGGAGGCCGTCTGCTGGGAAATAAAACGTTGCCAACGAAGGAACGTACTTTCTTCTCGCTGGGTTGGAGTTCCCCTGTACAGTAGTGCACACTGCACTTGTCGCAAGGCATGATGCTTTTTTCCATCGACGCAAGCCACTCGGGACCACCGATGCTGGCAGCAGCACTCTGCAACTGACGATGTTCACCAGATTGACTAACATTAAGGAGATTCCATAACAGACGACTAACGCCCGAGTTACCCCAACCGGCGACTAGAGGCTCCAGGATTGAGGCTACACACGCTAGGGTAGGTATCAAGGGTCAGAGGGGAAGGGCACACGGCCGACCTAAGGAGTGAATACCCGACAACGCCACAGAAGATCTCACTTATCGCTTCGGGTGGCAGTAGCACAAGAGGCTACACACACTGGCGTGTCCGGAGTCTGTCTCGACCAAGGCACGCCATCAGCGCATTGCAGTGCTGCACTTCCTGTTAAGCCCTCAGAGAAGCCCTGAAATAGAGATGACCATCTGGAACGATGGCCATCCTCACAGTGGCGAGAGTGAGATGGCCGAGCGTCTGGTCAAGACACATAGGGGTCACGATAACGCTTCGCCGGTCTTCATACTGCCACTCGACGACTCCTCTCGTACTAGGGTCGCCAACCTGAGGTAGATTCCTGAACGGTCCATCGACACTTAGAGGCTCACTTGACATGTGTAGAACTTCCCCTTGAAGTAGGACAGACCAAACAGACCAAAGATCAAGAAGAAGAGTCCTCCCACGATGAGGAGGTTGCAGAGCTCTGGTAAGATTCGGAACAGCGTGTTAACCACCAAACGCAGGTTTGGATTCCGAGATATGACCCTCAGGGGCCTCAGGGCACGTAGCATTCTCAATGTCTTGAGCACAGAGACATCGGGTAGCATCGGCAATAGGTCAACCACCGATACGATCACCACAACTCCATCAAGAATGTTCCACGAGTCACGCCAGTAAGCGCCCTTATTCAAGACCACTCCAAAGGCTACCCACTTGATGAGCATCTCCACAAGGAAGATGAACGTGAACAACGTGTTCGTGACATCAAGGAACTGTGCCAAGCCCGAAGTAGGGTCATGCAGAGGGCTATCCAAAGCCATTAGTGCTGACGACACCGCTATGCAGGCGATAATGAAGTTGTCGAACCAGGGCGCATCAGCAATGCTACTGCAGAACCGCCTTACTCGTCCATCACGACTGAACACCAACATTGAATGGTCGTTTGGCCAGGCCTCCTTCGTAGAGAGCTCCTTCACACTGTTGTCCTCTGAGGGGCATGGAGTGCCTTCTGGCGAGTCCTCAATACAGTGGACTGTAGGGTTCTCCGCCACAACAACCGTACTTCCCCTCTGGACTAGTCCGGGGAGGCCCTCATCTACCCCTCCTCCATGACGATCAGGCTCAGGGGCCGACGTAACCTCCAACACTTCCTCATCGTGATGATCATCCTGACCCTGAGCCTGCATACCCTCAGAGTACGGAGATATCAATGACCTGTTGCAAAGGCAAGCTCAACATCCTCAGCCACTACTATTGCTATGTATATGCCTTTATAGAGGCATAAGGTATATTATGTATATTATACTAGTATATTATTATTAAAAATCCCAGGCTTCCATCCGCGACGTAGCGTAACAATGGGGAAAAGAGCTCGAGTCTCGAATCGATCGGCCAGAGAGGAAACGTTCCTACCAAACAAGCCCCCTATACTATATCATTATAGTATCATGTATACCTTATACCATTATAGTGCTATATTATTCGCGATTTCGAAATATGTTCTTGCTATGAAGCCTACCTAGGAGAGGGACTCTCAAGCTGCGACTCAGGGCTGGACGCCTCATCTGAAGGGAGCGCGCCATTGGTCTTTCTCCGGTCCCGCAGGAACGCTGACAACTGCGACCGTGATCTGGCTCTAGCCAACTCTCGCTCCCTGAGGAGAACTCAAACACATCCTTCATAATGATACCCACCGTATCGTCGCGGAACTCTCCTCGAATTTGCTCATAAGAATAGCTAGGAATAGATTGAGTATCACACTCTGGCCGAAGATCACCAACGCGATGAAGAAGACTACTGCGCCCCAACCAACCGCCAACACCGCATCGTACATTATAGCATTCCAGTTCTCACCTGAGTAAACGGCCAATACCACAACTGAGAATAGAAGCACCGGGCTTACCCGTCAATATCTGAAACACTGTTATGAAGGACCACAGTAGAGTGTCGAAATGGGACCGAGGCACGCAGTCATAACCGCCTCCTGAAAACGCAAATTCATGCAACAACAACACCACCAACAACAACAACAACAACAACAACAACAACAACAACAACAACAACAACAACACCAACAACAACAACAACAACAATACCAACAACAATACCAGCAACAACAACAACAACAACAACACCAACAACAATACCAACAAATTACTACTAATTCTACTACGAGGGCTTCGTGAACTCACCTGGACATTGACTTTTCGGCCACGGTAAGAGCAGCTCATCAGGTATCTTCTTGCCGTCCTCGCCCATCCTCAACTTAGTAGCGAAGAGGCTCATGCCCATCAGGGTGAATACAAACATCATCAGCCCGAGGAGGATGCAGAAGTTACCCATAGAATTCACTGTGTGGGCGATCGACTTCAATAAGACACGAAAAGATGTCCACCTGCTGAGCACATTATCACGACTGCCGCCTCTGAGGCCCTCACTTTTTCGCAAGCTTGAATATTCTCAGCAGACGGAAACCCCTAAGGGCCGTCATAACAGTAGAACCATTGGCCAGGAATAACTCCAAGATCGACGTAATAACGATAAACCCGTCGAATGCCGTAGCGAGCTTCCTCCAATATCTCCGCGGGCCTGATCAGCACCCACTGCTGTACATATATGTATTGTAGCTACTACCCAGTGCAATGTGCAATAACACAAACTCAACCACGAAGACTACCGTAAACACCTGAGCATAACCAAACCATACTCAGAAGCATTAGGCGGTTTTGAAGCCCATATTTCCTTCTACCACCAGGGAAAAAACGGTCTCTAATCTAGATGCCTAGAGCTGTTTGTCACTAAGGCTATGGAGTGAGACGGCGAACGAAAGATCCCTTCCGATCGGTAATCAGTTCTGTTGTTGAGAATCTTCAAAGCCCGAGAATCAGAATCTGGAGAGCGGCTTCCGGGAAGCCCACATGAGCGCAAATGTCGAGAGCGCACAGTGTTTCTGATGCATTGAATTTTGATCATCTCGGCTCAGACGAGTGAACCGATGAATGAGCTGCCGATAGTCTGAGTAAAACGTGTAGTGCTGATCACTCTATCGTCCAATAGTTGTGTGCTGTGGAATCCGTCTGCTCAATCTGTCCCTCCTAGCTATGGCTAGTAGGAGGTTGTACTGCTGCTGTTGTATTCATCCTATTCCTCCACATAGTAACGCTCTGGCTAGTGTTATAAGTCAATGTCAACAGGATCCGTGGTGTCGAACAACCCAACGGGTGATCAGTGCCGCAGTTATTTCGTACGGAGCAGCACAGTGAGTCTCCCAAGGCCCATTCTCACCTGGTTGAGTACCGTGACCGTGTTAGTAAGCCTATATGGCGGTGGAGGGTAGGAGTCGAACATCATCACTATCACATTAGCTGTGATGAAGAACATTATAACATTGACGAACCACTCAGAGATGACCAGATATCGTATCTACCAAGCTAAGTCCTCCCAAGATTGATTTCATCGACTACCTTCACAACGATAGGGTGAGCTGAACTCTCGAGCTCCATGACCCTCATCATCACTGTTACACTCGAGCTAGCATCAGCCGGTGTACTCGTATAGAAGGTCCTCTTCTTTTCAGCTATTCTACTCTCCATTTCTGTCATTCCTCCGCCCTTCATTTTGGAAGCCTACAAACACGTCAAGCAGTACACATAGTCAACTACAAAGGTTCGTGACAATATAAAAATTTTGAGTCTCAACTATTGCTAGCGCCTTGATTAAACGTAACTCTGCTGTCAGTAAGCTGCTTCGTGATAAGGAGGTCTCGCACACGATTGATACTGATTAGCGATACGCTCAGATGTAGCATGTAACTCCTTAATTGATAGTTTGAATCGAATTGATATAAAAATTTTGAGGAAATTCTGAGAAACTTTCATTTGTTTCTGTACACTTCGACTCGAATCCGCAGAAATTTGGGGAAGTTTCTATTGGTTTCTGTACACTTCTACCCGAATTTGTATGTAAACTTCTATACTAAGCGATAAAACTCCCAAGCTCAACCGACGAAGCCGACTACAAACTCCAACACCGACGTACCCTGCGACTAGCCCTCTTAGCCTCATGTTTCCTCCTTTTCTTTTCAGCCAGTCGGTTCTCCTCATCAGTTGACATAAACGCATCCCACACAACGGCCAGAGCCACATTCAACAGGAAGAAGGAGCCGACTATGATGAGAGCGATGAAATATGCAGACGCGAACCAGTCAGAGTGACTATCCTGGAGGAGGTACCTGAATAACAACGAAGTGCCGAGTCTTTTACGTTTAACAGGGACGCGAAGTGAAAGCCAATCGGAATGAATACTTTCACCACAGCTACGAACTGTGCGACGTGAAACGTATTTAAAACGAAAAACTCGCATATATTCAATTTGTGGAGAACTATTTTCAATTCACCGAGTTCACATCGCGACAACGAGCCCAGACTCACATAACGTCCGTCCAACCCTCCAACGTGATCGACTGGAAAACAGTGAGAGCTGCGCCCAGGAGATTGTCAAAGCGAGTTATTCGGAAGTTGAAGTCAGCCGAATCAGTAGGGTCCACCGTACTCCCACACCTACACACCAGTACGACCTAGTAGCACCTTGAAGGCGTTGCTCACCAGGGAAATCCCATCCTGTCTCCTCCTCCTCCTGCTGCTAGCACTGTACCATTTATCATGAACACTGGACGGAGAGACTCCGTTTGGTCCTCTACATAATTGGATCCACAATAGGTTTCAGGTAAGCACGAATACCGTCCGCCACACAACCTGAACTCGTGAATCACATATCGCAAAAACTCTCATAGGGAGGGGCCGGGCCTATTTTTTCCCTAAGAAAATCCCAAAAGAATAAACTTTTCGGCCCAAAAAACCCAAATACTCATCGAAAAACTTCAATTTTTTCGAATTTTTCCAATAAAAAATACGTCTTTTATAAACCATACCTGCTCTGGGCTGTATCCACTTCCCATTCCCAACAGTACTCCTGAGAACCGTTCAAGACCGGCAAGGCATGCTGCACTGCTCCTGTAGCTGCTTCAATGAGGATGGGATAAGGCGTTAGACGACACCTGAGGAAGTACCAATACCACTACTATTACTGACCAACTCAGACAGTGATAATACTAATAATGCTACTAATAATAGTAATACTATACTACAGGGTGTCCCAAGGAAAATGTGCTTAGTTGAATATTCAGAAAATCCCATACCATTCGGAAGCTCTTGTAGAGGGCTTTCAGATGGTGTCAGAAATGTTGAAAGCCTTGCCGCCGACACTCACGAGAAATTCGAATTTCACGCTCGTTATAATAGAACAGGTCGTCGCACTTTGCTGTTATTTCACTCGAGTACTAACTGCATAATACTACCTTCGTTCAAGTACTCCCCCCCAAAAGTTGGTACCCAATATCCCGAATACTAGCAGGATAAACACAGCAGTGCCGGCTACATTGGCTAGACGTGGTATAGAAAGAAGTACTGTATTCACCAGTAACTGACAAACATTGCATCCTATGAATAATCTATTACCACTACCACTACAACCGATCTAGTACTATATACAGTACACCTGTCACCATCACCGTGTCACCACCTTTACTTTCTCATAGGTCCGTCACTTATCATGAGCTAGAAAAGACTTTCTATTTACTACCACTCCAATCGATCAAATACACTCTTTCAAATATATACTACCGATTCAAGCTATGCACGAGCCATTGCTTTCTAATGCTACACAGCATGTCACTATCATCAGCATTCTCATAAGCCGGTCACTCACCATGAGAAAAAAAGACTATTTACTACCACTCCAATCGATCTAATACACTCCTCAAATGCATACCACCGATTCAAGCTATGCACGAGCAGATGAATTCTAGTATCATCGTCACGCTACCACCACCTTTTCCATGGCTTCATCACTCACGATGAGCGGAACAATACTATCGATCTTACCTTCATTTCTTTCAATACTGTTAAGCTGCGTAGAGGTCTGAGTACCCTGAAGACCCTCAGGACGCTAAGGTCAGTGTCACCACCCAAGTTCACGACGGAGAGAAGACCCGTCACCACCACGATGAAGTCCAACCAATTCCAGCCATCAGTCAGATAAGTCGACTTCTCTCGTATAAGCCCCCAAGCGACTATCTTCAGCAGACACTCTATTGTGAAGAATGCCAATAATAATGAATCGGCAAACGCGCCAATCTGAGGAGGAAATGACGACAACAAAATGGTTCAACTTCGACCTCGTTGCGACGGTTGTCAGGGTCCCTCTTATCCTCAATAGCGATCAAGATTGAGTTCAACACGATGAGCGACAGGATGAACCTGAGGACCACCGCTACGGTGTAATCGCGCTCGCCCCTATCTCATCGGAAGGGTTAACAGGAGAGTCAGTGCGTGTGTAAGCCGAGTTGTACAGTCTCATGCACGATGTGGTGCTCGAGTCGTGATATGGAGGAGACGCGTAGTGACCTCGTAACGTAGTAGGAGGCGTTGGGATGCGTAAAGGTGATACGATGTGGCATGACTGGGTATAACATCGCCTTGCTCGGCGGAAAAGGGTATAAAAGGGGTCATCAGCGACCTACTATCTACTACTACTACTACTACTACTACTACTACTACTACTACTACTACTGCTACTACTACTACTACTACTACTACCACTACTACTACTACTACTACTACTACTACTACTACTACTACTACTACTACTACTACTACTACTACTACTACTACTACTACTACTACTACTACTATCTACTACTACTACTACTACTACTACTACTACTACTACTGCTACTACTACTACTACTACTACTACTACCACTACTACTACTACTACTACTACTACTACTACTACTATCTACTACTACTACTACTACTGCTACTACTACTACTACTACTACTACTACTACTACTACTACTACTACTACCACTACTACTACTACTACTACTACTACTACTACTACTACTACTACTACTACTACTACTACTACTACTACTACTACTACTACTACTACTACTATCTACTACTACTACTACTACTACTACTACTACTACTACTACTACTACTACTACTACTACTACTACTACTACCACTACTACTACTACTACTACTACTACTACTACTACTACTACTACCACCACTACTACGACATACCCTGTGTACCCTCCCCCATGAGTACTACCTCTGGAACCATTTCCATTCCACCATCCATATCGTAAAGAGTCTGAACTTGCTGCGTATCGGGAATATGAAGCAACTATTCTCGCATAGTCGTTTTTGCTTTCCACCAGCGTCCACCAATACTTGATGGTAGATCCCAAAGGGGTCCAGTGTCTTCTCACAAGACACCTTCTGGCCGAGCAGTTGAAAACTGAAGTACTCCTTAGGCATGGCGTAAGACCCCCTTCTTGAGCTCGTCAACGATTCCACGAGGGAAACTCGACGTGGTACTGGTACTGAGGGCTTCCCCTCCTCATGTTTGCCGCCTGGGACGACACTCATAAATAGCCGGCTCTTCACGGCTCCAGGACAACACTATGCAAGAATCCTGATAAGAACAACATTACTACGGAATATCGAAATGTCAGTGTGTGTGAGAGAGTGTAAAGTCCAATGCTGATAACACGGATGAGCTTTCATTGACAACACGGCTTCAGACGGTGCAATAGACTGTATATACTCTTGGTAGCCTTACGGTCAAGTATGGGATGTGAATCCTTTCTAACAGAAATGTGGTATGTAAGAACCCCCCCCTACCAACACCATTTTCTATGGTGCTCTCGATGGGGTAGTGGACAAATCACATAGAAGCATAACAATGCAGTCACCCGCCCAGAAGTTGCAAGTTGAAAGAGCCACACAGACAAACTGCGCTGATAAACCGCGCTCGCCCTTCTAATCGACCAACTTTCCGTCCATCGCGGTTGCTGGGCGAGCGACAATCGCATCCCGGTCTCCTCTACGTGCGATCTTGAGCATTCTTCTAGTAGAGGGCATTGTACTACTTAGCGTTGACGCTGTTGGTTCCACTATGTCTATAGTAAGAGCGTCCGACAGTTCTATCAAGCAGGCTTTGGCTCGACACCAGCATAAACCTGGTGAGCATTCAAGATCTCTACTGGTAATAGGACATCTTCCTTTTAGGGGATCTCAAGGAACGATGGACCCCCGAGGCCAGTCTGGACAGACCCGATGCCCTCGAGTTGAGGAAGAACACTGACGAGACTCGTAGTGCTCTTGAAGGTGATAAGGGGAAGGCTGTGGGGCGTTGTTGGTGTATGGTTGCTTATCAGCTGTTCTGGCCCAACGTATAGGGCAGGCGGATACCACTAGAGAGCACCTGTCGGGGGCTAACGATGCTCAGAGGAAGCTCGCCAACGCACAGTATCTACGGTAGTAACAAGGGGGAGGCAGAGCTGCGTATGAGCTTGCTGTGGTCGTTAGAAAATGTGCCGGGTACTTAGATGGGTTGGTTGGTGATTTTGTCAGGTACACTCCTAGTAAGGATGCTCCTGGGCGTAACCCCAACATCAAACAGAGAGTTATCAAGGTGGTTGAGGTCCAGAAGGACCCCATGGAACCGCCGAAATTCCGTCATCACAAAGTCCCAGCTCGTAATAGCCTCAAATCTAAAATCGTTCAAGTCGCTAATACAATTCTCAGCCCCAAGCGAGCCCCCGCCACCGGTGCTGAGATCCCCTCCCAAGAAGCTCACCAAGGAGGATCAAGCTGTACGCGCTCGTGCTGTGTTGATGCTATTCAAATTCACCTTGCACAGATGTGGAAGATTCCGCCATGTGTGAGCAACTGGAAAAATGCTAAGGGTTATGTTATTCCCTTGGACAAACGTATTGCTGCTGATGGCAGAGGCTTACAGGTAGTAGACTTTACTATAGAGTTGGCCGAGGGAGAGTATACTTCTTTCTGTGCGTGTTAGGACGTTACGGTATCTGAGAGGCATGCTCAGTTCGCGGAGGATCTGTATATAGCAGAAACGAAGGCCAGGCAGGAAATTAGAATTCGGAATGAGCTCGCCAAGCAGAAGGCTACGCGTGAGCAGGCACGTTTGGACCTGCTTTGTATCTTACGTGCTCGGAACCTTGGATTCCTTTAGGAGAGCGAAGAACAGAAACTGCGTGATTTGGCGGCTAAAGCTCGCAGGTCTCGTACGAATGCCTTTGCTGGTGGTAGAGGAGACAGGGAGGAAGCTGAGGGTAATGTGATGCTGACTACTGTCATTAGTGTGAGAGGAAAATATGCACATGGTCAACTACATGCGTTGGTGACAATATGCAAATTCTGAGGAAAATTTGGGAAGTTCTTATTGGTTTCTGTATAGTTCTACCCCTATTCTCATGTAAACTTCTCTAGTACGTGAAAAAAATTTCAAGCTCAGCTGAGGAAAGCGAACATATACTTCATTGCTGTTTGTGGAAAGCCTGTTATGGCAGATTATCGTAGACAAGATGAAGCACGAGCTGAGGTCATGCGGGAGACTCTTCGTGAGCATCGTATGGAGAAGGCAGGAAGGAACAAGCAGGGCCGAGACAGGGACGAGGAAAGAGATATTTCCGAGCTCATCGCCCTGGGCAAACAAGTAGTATCCCCTCACTTGCTGCTGTTAGGATGGTTATTCTGCTGTGTTGGGCAGGTCCAGCCCAGTTCCAAGGGTGAGGGTCAATACGATGCTCGACTGTTCAACCAGAGCGGCGGCCTGGACTCTGGCTTTTATGATGATGGCGCGAATAACGTATATGACAAAAGGCTCTTTGCTGGTACGGACTTTGCTGCGGTGATGATAGGATTTTTAAGGATGTGAAATTAGATCGTTCCTCGGCGAATAAGATCTACCAGTACGACGCTAAGCGGCTGGAGCAGGCTCGTGAGGAGTATGACAGAGCGGAGGAAAAGGCTGGAGGGGAAAGCAATAGTGCTGCAGCAGTAGGGAGGCTGGGGTGATGGAAGTAGTAGTATTAGTGGTTGTTGTTAGGTTTATCAACGGCAAGCTCCGGTACAGTTCGAGACTGCTGGAGACCAGGATCAGTTCGGCTTGTCGGGCTTGTTGGACGATGACGATGAGCCTCAGCAGAAGCAGGCCAGCAAGAGATCTCGGGGAGGTAGGGAAAAGGAGGAGGAGGAGGTGATGGAGGATTGTTGTTGGTTAGATGATAATCGAGGAGATGAGAGAAAGTCCCGTCGACGCTCTTAAGAAGTGGTCAGCAAATGTTGTCGCTACTTGTTCTTATTCTTCTTATTGCTATCATAATATGTAACACTACTATTACAACAACGTTCGTATTGGAGTTACGATCACCGCCTCACTACAGTGTTGGGTTTGTATGGAGTACTGGTGAGGGAAGTCGTAGCAGGAGTTTGTATGCCGCATAACACTCTTACACTTCCTGCAGCACATGCGGAAAAGGTCGTCATGAACTCTAGTAGTGGTCATGCAGGGCGTGGCGACATTCAAGATGACAGCATACGGCAGATGTTCCTCGACGCTTACCCTAGAGTAGTATCCAAGCTCGACTGGGCTGCTGCTCCTCATTGGCTTGCTGTTGTTGTAAGGCTCGCGAGACAGTGATACAGGGCATCGGGGCTTATCTGGACGAGGGCGGTCTGGGTCCTGATAACGATGTGCATATTGGCGTGAGTCACGATGGAATGGTGACTGAGTTGTTGATTTGGTGACAGGTCTGTAACTACTTCGAAAGGTGTATGAACTACAACTGTTTAGGAGGGAAGATGACTCGGGGTTTGACCACAGTTGCAACGTGAGCTCGCTGATAATCTGGTGTTGGTTTCTTACGATGCGATAGGTACGTCGCCCTATGTGGGGATTATCGTGAGCATGTTAAGGACGCCGCTGCCATTGGTTGGAGTGCTGAATTCTTGCAAGCCAGTTTTCTCATGTTCGATGACGTCATGGATCAGTCAGAGACTCGTCGTGGGAGGTAGAACTACATATAGTAGAGGAGCCTTCCATAGCCCAGGTATTTCCTCTCAGTACGTGTTGGTACAGATTGCCGGAGATATCGATGCCCAACTCGCTCAATGATGTTGTTTTTATAGAGAATGCTGTATACACTCTTCTTATTGAGTCTACAGGTTTCGATGCCGATATCAAGTTGGCGGTAGGTCTTGCAACGACGAAGTGGTGGCGAGATGGTATTACTTAGATAATCCGGCTTTGCCATGATATTACGTTACGAACGATTATAGGGCAGCATCTGGACCTCAACTCCGTTCGCCCCGACGATTATACTGTTGATTTGTCGCGGTACACTATGGAGAGGTATGATGATAACGGTAGCAAGGATAGACCTTTGGGAAGTTAGTCTTGTCAGGTACTGGGCCACCACGGCATATAAGACAGCCTACTACTCCTTCTGGCTCCCGGTCGCATTAGGCATGGCTATGGCTCGCTTTTCTCTAGACGACCCGGACTACAAAGGGACTAAGGATGTACATATTCGTTGGTTTTCCTCAAGGTGGATTTTGTGTTATGTTTAGGCTTGCATTTTACTGGGAAATTTTTTCCAAGCCCAAGATGACTTCCTGGACGTTTTCGGCGACCCTGAGGCCATCGGCAAGGTAAGTTGGAGATCGTTGGCAGTTGATATCATGGCATGTGCTTAGGTTGGGACTGATATCAAGGAAAGCAAGTGCTCATATGTTTTCCTCAAGGCAAGGGAGCTGCTGGAGACGAGCGACTCCTGTGGGACCGACACTGCTGGAAATCGGAAGCATCGTGTCTTGTTCAGGCGAGAGTAAAGCATCGCTCGAACGATTAAATAAATTATACAGCAAAAAAGACAAGACAGGTGAGTTGACGGTTACGGCAATAACGCCTCATACTGAGCTTGACAGGTGCCGAGGTGGACGAGATAAAGTGTATTCTCGCTAAGTCCGGCGTTGAGCAGGCTTTCCGAAGGTGATATCAATGCTCAGTGAATTAGCATAAAAGCCTGGAGGAATCAGGTTCGAGGAGGAAGAGAAAACAAAGGTCGAAGTTTTGTCAAGGGCCATTAAAAATGCCGGATTGCGGGAAATTATACAAGGATTAACATCTACGATTTACCGTCGTGGAAAATAGTGGCTTGATACGTGTTCAGTGCCGACCTGTTTTCGTACACTCGGTACTACTACCATCGTTTACTGTCGTTTATCGCAGCAGTTACCCTTGAGAATCGTCTTGGGTTGTGTGTCACAGTGGTAGTGGAGGGGGCGTGCATTTGCATGTCAGCCCTCATGCATGAATGCTGACGAAGCCAGAACTATTGCGGCCCGACTGTGGCAGAAAGATAAGGAGGAGAAGTGTGTCGGCCTGGCAGAGGGGTGTATGAAGGGCGTCTACGACCAACAATTCCTTCCCGTTCAGCTACTCAGGT